AAAAAAAAAAAAAAAAAAAAAAAAAGGACAAAAAAAAAAACAAAAACCACTTACACATGAAGGTAAACCATTTAAAAATGACATGATATTAAATAAATGATCCTAAAAAACAAAACAAAACAAAAACCACAAGTACACCAGTTGAGTAGCTGAAGGAAAAAAGTAATTAGCTTTGTTAGCATAACATCATAGTTAAGAGATTTAACTCTGCAGCCAGACAGCAAAGATTCAAATCCTGTTTCATCCACTTACTGGGATATGATTGGATGAGTATTTTAACCTGTTTTTGTCTTAGGATTCCTCAGTTGTGAAATGAAGATAACATGAGTACTTATTTCAAAGAGTCAAAGATTCAATCAGTTATTACACAGAAAGCATTTATAATAGTGATTCTTAGTCTACATGTGATATAAAGGATAATATGAGTATATATGCAAACTTAAGAAATCACTTATTAAATGGAAATATACTTAATAAATAATTTTGGATGGGAACAAATTCTCAGTGGAGGATATTGGGTATCAGTTGCCATGGTAAATGTATTAAACTCCATGTTTCCCTGCAAGATCCTCTGGCTCGCTATATGAATACCAGCAAGCAGGAGGTGGTGCAATGGCCTCCTGGCATTTGACAATGGAGATTACCTCCTTGCCACAAACTACAGTTGGAATATTGGGGACTTTGTCTTGTATGTATCATTATATTTTTATTTACTATGCTGGATGCCAGTGGGATGAAACTGTACTGGTAGAAGAAATGTGATTCATTGACATTTAAAAAAATGATTAAATTTTATTAAACTGTGAGACCTATGATACATTATGAATAAAACAGTAGTAAAATGGCATGCCAGTGGTTCCATTTGAATCCCACTCATGAATATGCTATTCTGGTTCTTCAAATTAAACTCTCCTTCTGATAAATGCTTTCTCTTCAATTTCCCAAAATAAGACTAATCTTTCATTAATGAGTGATATAAACAGCTACTGATATTCAATGGAGGAGGTGACCACCATTTCCCCTGCACCATTTCCACCACATAATTAGTCTCTAGTAACCTGCCACTCTCCTCCCATGAAAACCTCTAGCCTAGCCCGCTGTTTCATGGTCAGTTGTTTGCAAAGTGCCCTCTGCCTGGAAAGGGTACCCCGAATACAATAAGCATGACTTACATCATACATTTAAGTAATTCCTGCCCCTCCCCCATGCTCTTAAATTCACACAATATTGAATTTTTAAAATTCAGTGTCCTTGATTTTCTAGGGCAAGTGGACATGAAGGAACCATACCTAATGAAGCAGGCCTTCTAATCTTACTGATTCCCTCCCGGAGACAATGAAAAGCCTGTAAGAAAAGTATATCAATATACTTCAAACTTCAGGCTGAAAGTCACAATTAGTAATGTAGCCTTTTCAAGAAATTGCAAATAATTGAATACGATATTTCATAAGCTGAATTGGCCATTCCTACACATGTTCTTCCTCTTTTGATATACATGAAGTCATGAGTTTTAACATATTTTGACTTGCAGTTATTATGTGTTACGTATTTCAGATCAATCTTGGAGAAGCAGACTTAGTTATCCCTACTATGATTTCTCCATTGTGAGAATTGGTTAAAAAAATTACCTATTCATTACATATATAAGGTTTCTCTCCAGTATGAATAATTTGGTGAAGCCTGAGGATACACTGTTGCTTAAAGCCTTTCTAAGGTCAGCATGTTTGCATGGTTTCTCTCTTGTATAAATTCTCTTGTGACCCCAAAGGTGTGAATATTTGATAAAAAGCCTTACCAAATTCATTACGTTTGCAAGATTGCTCTCCAGTATATGAATACTATGATGTTTCACTTTTGATCTCTGAGTAAAAGCCATAGCATGCCCATTACATTGTGTGCTTTCATCACAGATGTATGTTCTGATGTCTAGTGAGTTGTGATGCCTGGGTAAAGCTTCTGCCACATACATTTACATGAGTTCTCCTTGTAGTGAACTCTCTTTTGTTGAGTAGTGATTAAACTCTGGTAAAGGCTCTGCCACATACATTTATTTGTAAAATGTCCCTTCATTTTGAGTTCTCTGTAGATCCACAAGTTTCGTCCTTTAGGTAAAATTCTTGCCACACATATTGTTTTTGTTGTTTCTGTTCAGGATGTATATTCTTATACCTAGTGAGTAGTGAGCACTAGTTTAAAACTTTACTATATTTGCTGCATATACAAGCATGAATTATTTAGTGAACTTAGATGTTAAGACAATGTCTAAAGGCCTTGTCACATTCAGTGTATCTGTAAGGTTCTCTCCAGTTTGTTTTTTCTGATGTTTAGTGATGCCTGAGGAATGAAAATAGGATTGGCCACATTCGTTACATTTGTAAGGTTTCTCTCCAGAATGAATTCTTTGGTGTCTCTTGAGGGAGGACCACTGTCCAAAGGTCTTGCCACATTCAATACACTTCTATGGCTTTTCTCCAGTATGGCTGATCTGGTGCCTAACTAGGATTGAACGCACCCTAAAGGCTTTGCCACACTCATTGCATTTATAAGGTTTCTCTCCAGTATGAATGCTCCGATGATGTGCTAGGTATGAGTAGTTACCGAAGACCATGCCACATTCATTACATTTGAAAGGTTTCTCTCCAGTATGAATGTTCCGATGACGTGCTAAGGATGAGTGATAACTGAAGACCTTGCCACATTCATTACATTTGTATGGTTTCTCTCCAGTATGAATTCTCTGATGAATGGAAAGGTTTGTACTGTAATTGAAGACCTTGCCACACACGTCACATTGGTATGGTTTCTCCCCAGTATGAATTATCTGATGTGCAGTGAGGAATGAGCCCCGCTTAAAGGCTTTGCCACACTCATTACATTTGTAAGGTTTTTCTCCAGTATGAGTTTTCTGATGAATTACAAGGGTAGAACTTCGAGTAAAGGCTTTGCCACATTCATTACATTTGTATGGTTTCTCTCCAGTATGAATTCTCCGGTGACTTGCAAGATATGACTTTCGACTAAAGACCTTGCCACATATATCACATTGATATGGTTTCTCTCCTGTATGAATTATCAGATGAACTGCAAGATTTGACCTGAAATTGAAGACCTTGCCACATACATCACATTGATATGGTTTTTCTCCTTTATGGTTTATCTGATGCCTACGGAGGAGTGAGTCCTGATTAAAGACTTTCCCACACTCATTACATTTGTAGGGTTTTCCCCTGATGTGTGTTTTCCGGTCTTGTGTAAGTAATAAAGGGTGCATGAAATCGTTGTCATATTTATTAGAGATGTAGGTGTGCACACTAGGAAGGAGTCTTTGAAGTGGTAAAACTGAGGAAAAACTGTTTGTCTTCTGAATTTGATTACATTCATAAATTTTCCCTTCAATTTGAAATTTCTGCAGTTCAGCTAGAAGTGACTGAAAGCTAAGCTTATTTTTAATAGGCCTGTTTCCTGCATCCACTTCGCCATGTAGGTCTCTTCTATCAGTGAGATTTTTTTTATGGGTCATAGGGACTCCTTTATAATCTCTTCCAGCCTCTCTCCATTGAAAATCAAAGTCATGTATATTTTTCTTTATCTCCCTAAAGTAAAAATCTGTGTCATGCTTTCCATGTCTTTCCAACATAACTGTTCGGAATATTTCTCCTGTATTACTATTATCTATTGGTGGTAATTCCTTGATCCCACATTTAGAAGTTGTATCTGCAAGATATAATAAAACATGGGTTTCCTATTAATTAAAAATTAGTATATAAATATTTCATATGGAAAATGTATATATACTAAATAGAGTTATAAAACTTTCCAACATGATATTCAATTTTTAGAAACACAGAAGGAATAGAGTTCTTTAGTAAAAAAAAAAAGTGATTACACGCAATTCAAATTAATTTTAGGGAAGCCTAGTTTCGAACATCCTATGACAGAAACAGTAATGTTGTGCAAACATATACAAGCAATAAAAGAAAGGCGACATTTCCACAGTGACCTAAAAGCACACACCAGTTAGCGTTAAACATATGATTCCATCATATTTAAAGAGAAAAAGTTATATTATATATATATATATATATATATATCCACTTCATATTTGCTGTGCAAAAGTAAATGCTAAAGCAAAGCACAATATACTGTAATGGTAAATAATCCACAACAAACTCATCTGATGAATAATCTAAATAAATGGCAATTTAGAAGGGCAAACCAAAAACTGTACTGAAAAAATGAAAAAAAAAATTAAGAAAATGATGTTATAAAGATTTTTTTAATACTTATTATAAAACTATCCAGACTCATGCAGAACAGACATTTGCAACATTAACAAGTGGTACATGTCAGCTACATTGCATAACACACGCTGAAAAATCATCATCTATAAACCATAAAAAAAATTAATAAATAAAACATTCTAACAACCCATGACTAGATGGCAGGTAATAAGTAACCACAGTTATACAACTTTATTGCATTAGAAAATTTATGAACTAAGATCAGAGACAACATTGTTTGGAACATACTGGAAAATAAAAACAGAAACATACAGCGCAGGCTGTTATCGTGTGAATATTTGTGTCCACCACAATTCATATGGTGAGGACCTAATCCTCAATGTGAATGTACAGTCCTGAGCCACAGAATGACATTTCAGCCCACGATGGACTCCATATCAAATGGTGGACCCCTAACATATCTTAGCCATATCATCTAGGTTTGTTTAAGTACACTCTAAGATGTTCTCACTATGAAGAAACTGCCTAAAGATGCAGTTCTCAAAATGTATCCCCATCACTACCCAACACATGACTGTATTTGGAGGTGAGGCTTTTGGGAGGCAATTAGGACATGAGTGTGGGATGGATCTCAAGAACGGGATTAAGAGAGACAAAAAGCAGCTTGCTTCCTCCCGATCTTTCCACCATGTTAGCACATAGGAAAAGAGCCAAGGTGAACCAGGAAGAGGGCCCGTATCAGGAACCAAATTAGCTGGCACCTAGATGTTGGACTTCCAGCCTCCAGATCTGTGAAAAGTAAATTTCTGTTCTTTAAGTCACCCCATCTATGGCATTTCTAATGGCAGGCCTAGGTGACTAAGACAGGCAGTGGACCATCTCATCATAAGTATGACAAACATCCGATATACCTTATTAAACAAAAACCTTTTGAGTGTTTTCTATAAAATAAGTGATATTCTAAGTAATTAACAGCATTAACTTGTTTTAAAAGCCTTGAGGTAAATAATTACTATTTAACAAACAAGAACAGGAAGCTGCAAAAATTGGGGCAGGAACACAAAATTAATATGCTAGTAAATTGGGGCAGGAACACAAAATTAATATGCTAGTAAAAAACAGTATAGCCTATCCAGTTCAAGGTACTATGTGAAGAAAGACGAGGATGGAGGAAGAGCAAGAGAGGAGGGCAGGGAATAATGAGCGTGTAAGAGCAGCATTTACACTTGCATAGCTGTGGGAATATAATTGTACAAAAATAGTAAAAATTCTGACCTTGGAAGATAAGAGGAACTAATTCAGAAAATACTACTATACTGACCCATGCTTAAACACAGAAATTATATTATGGGTGTAGGGCACTAATGAAAAAGACTTAAAAGGGAGAATGTGAGATGTCGTGGGCAGAAAGTAGGTTTATGTCTCTTACAATATCTGCTATCAAACTGATCAAATTAAATGTCCCATGAGTTCTATTTCCTTGCCCATACTCAAGACATCCTATATGTATATTACAGGAAATACGTGCAAAACTGTTCTTATAGTACAACCCTGAAACAAAAACCTAAAAATAGCCATGGAGAGAAGATGGATTTTGTTCATTCTGTAAACACATATACAGACACAATGAAAATTTATCGGCAGTATAGCAATGCAAGAAGACTTTGGTGCAGAATGAGAACCCCTGGCACACTGGGCAGAAATCTGTTAGAAGAAACAAAGCTAACAAGAGACTACTGCCAAGGCATAAATATATGTTAATGGGAATACAATTTATATGGAAGTAATTTGTTGTGTTATCAACAACATAAAAGGCAAACAGGCTTGTAAAAGAATAGTTTTTGTATGTGATTGAGTTAGGTTGTTATCAGTTTAATATAGAATGTTATAATTTTAAGATGCTGTATGTAATTGCAATGTAACCACAAAGAAAATATCTACAGGATATGCACAAAAGGAAATAAGATGGGAATCAAAGCACATCAGTAAAAAAACTCAATGAAACAAAAAAGAAGGCAGTGGGAGAAATGAGGTACAAAAAAATCTACAAAATAAACAGAAACATTTAACAAGATGGCAGTTGTAAGTCCTTCCCAATCAGTAACTATTTGTAAATGGTTTAAACTCCACAATCAAAAAACAAAGGTTAGCTGAATGGATTAAAAAACAGGATACAAGTACATGCCATCCACAAGAAACTCACTTTAACTCTAAGGACACATACCTACACTGAATTAAAAGGATAAAGAAAGATATTCCCTGTGAATGGTAACAGAAAGAAACCACAGGTGGCTGGCTATACTAATATCAGTAAAAATAGATGTTACGTGAAAAACCGTTAGGAGAGAAAAAGAATACTATGTAATAATAAAAGGATCGCTTCACCAAGACAATATAGCAATTATAAATATGTATGCAACTAATATTAGAGCTCCTCAATATACAAAGAAAATTAAAAGAACTGAAAGGAAAACTAGATAGCTCCACTGTAATATTAGGAAACTTCAAGGCTCACTTTCACTCACAGAAAAAACCACCAGACAGAAGAAAAATAAGGAAATAGAGGACTTAAACAATACTACATATCAAGTTAAACTACTAGACATATACAGAACACATTATCCCAAAACAGCAGAATACAAATTTTTTTTATTTGCACATGGAACATACTCCAGAATAGACCACATTTAAGAAGAAAAACCAACTCTTAAAAATTTTAAATGACCAAAATCATACAGTTTCTTTTCCCATCATAATGGAATAAAAACTAGAGAATAGCAGAAGAAAACTGGAAAAAGCACAAATATATGGAAATTAACACACTCTTAAACAACTAATGTGTCAAGTTAGAAATAAAAGCAAAATTAGAAAATATGTTGTAACATGGAAAAAAAACAAAAACAAAAACACACACAACACACGAAAATTTACAGGATGCAGCAAAAACTGACCTAACATAGGAAACTTACAGGAATAAATGCTTACATTAAAATAGAAGATCTGTATTCAAAAAACTAACTTTACAACTGAATAAACTAGAAAAAAAAATTAAACCCAAAGATAGTGGAAGGAAGAAAATAATAAAGATTAGAGAGATAAGAGAACAGAAAAGCATGAAATTTTTTGAAAAGATAATAAAATGGATAATCCCAAAAAAAGAGACACGACTAACCAAAAAAAAAAAAAAAAAAACATGACCCAAATAAGTAAAATTAGAAATGGCAGAGGAAACATTACAACTGACTTTATACAAGTAAAAAGGCTTTTAAGAGAATACTATGGACAAGTATGCTAACAAATAGGATAATTGATATTGCATGTGTATTTGTGATATTATATGTATATTTTGGTTTTTGTCCATGTTCCTGGCTTTTCTAACCTTCCTCTGCCTTTCTGTCTTGGGGCTGGCCATAAAGAAATTCTCTGGCCTACCTTATTTGATTATAAGTCATAAGATCCCCTTTGAGAAGGGGTCCCGCACCATACCTGGGAGGAAGGAATGCTACACAGAGAGGCAAAGAAGAATCTCAACAAACAGGTTTTGTAGGGTTTCCCCACCCAGTCTATAAGTGTTGATCATACCTTTTTTGTCTAATCATATTTCTACATGGTTATTCATGCTTTAATCATGTCTACATAATGACTCTTTCATAAAAACCCAAGAGCACAGGGTTCAAGTAGTTTCCAGATAGCTGAACACATGGAGGTTTCTGGAGTATGGTGCCCCATAACTTGCCCTACGCATCTCTTCATCTGTATCCTTTGTAATATCCTTTATAATAAACGGGTAACCCTGAGTAAGTGTTTCCTGAGCCACGCAGCTAATCAACTGAACCCAAGGATGGGGCTGTGGAAATTCCAATTTACAGCTGGATGGTGAGAAGTTCCAGAAGTCTGGGCTTGTGACTGGCATCTGAAGTGGGGGCAGTCTTGCAGGCTAAGCCCTAAACTTGTGGGATGTGACACTGTCTCCAGGTACATAGTGTCAGAATTGAATTAGAGGGGCTGGCTGGCTAGCTCAGTTGGTTAGAGCGTAGCCTAATAATACCAAGGTCATGGGTTCAGATCCCCGTACTAGCCAGATGCCAAAAAAGAAAGAAACCAGAAACCAAACAAACAAAAGAATTGAATTAGAGGATACCCAGTTGGTGTCCACCACAGAACTGATTATTTCCTTGCCAGTGGACAGAAACCCCCACACATTGGATCACAGAAGTCTGTCTTCTGTGTTGATTGTTCCTGAGCATAGAAAACACTTACATTGTGTACTTTTTCCTTCATTCAATAATCAAGAAGAAATAGATAAATTTCAAGAAAAACACAACCTATGAACACGGAAATATGAAGAAACAGAGTACCTGAACAGACCTATAACTTATCAGAAGGTTGAATCAGTAATGAAAAGCCTACCAATAAAGAAAAGCCCAAGACCACAGAGCTTCAGTAGAGAATTCAATGAAACAGTTAAACAATCCTCAAAGTCTTTCAAAAACCAGAGGGAACACTTTCAAATTCATTCTATGAGGCTGGCATTACCCTGATACAAAAGCCAGACAAAGAAAAGAAATCTATATAGCAATATCCCTGATGAACGCTGAGGCAAAAATCCTGAACAAAATAATAGCTAACCAAATACAACAATACATTAAAAGCATTATTTCTGGAATGCAAGGATGCTGCAACATGACATGATGAATGTAATATTCCACATTAACAGAAGGAAGGAAAAGACCACTTGATCATCTTAGTTAATGCAGAAAAGTAATTCGAAAAACATCAACACCCTTTCATTATGAAAACACTCTACAAACTAGGAATAGAATGAAACTAACATAACATTAAAAAGGCTATATATAGGGCCGGCCCGGTGGCACACTGCTACAGTGCACCGCTTGGGAGCATGGTGGCGCTCCCGCCGAGGGTTCGGATCCCACGTACAGACAGGTTCCTGCTCACTGGCTGAGCGAGGTGCGGCCGCAATGCCAAGGGTTGCGATCCCGTTGCCGGTCCCGGTCCGGTACGGGCGCGACACTGAGGGTTGCGATCCGTTGCCGGACACGAAAAAAGACAAAAAGGCTATATATAAAAAGCAAAAAATATAGGTTTTATAAACAACAGTGGAAGTTATTGACATGTAATAAATGGGTTAAGTTTCTTATAAAATAGAGATCTTTATATTAATTTAGTATACCAAGATGGCCATGATAAAGCTAGACAGGGAGAATAATTATTAGAATGTAGCACTTGATCCAGAAAAGAAACACTAGTGAAATATTAATAAACCCAACAAGGTATTTTGAGATAGTTGAAAACACTATAGAAATAGCAATGTATCTTATATAACAAAGTATGGCCAATCAATTTAATGGTATATCTCACATTAAGACAGTAACTTCTTGGGCCGGCCTGTGGCTCACTCGTGAGAGTATGGTGCTGATAATACCGAGGCCACAGGTTCGGATCCCATATAGGGATGGCCAGTTAACTGACAACACCAAGTCAAGGGTTAAGATCCCCTTACTGGTCACCTTTTAAAAGAAAAAAAAAAGACAGTAACTTCTTAAAAAATATGGACTGGCCATTTAGCTTAGTTGGTTAGAGTGCAGTGTTATAAGAGTTCAGATGCCCTTACTGACCAGCCTCCAAAAACAAAAAAAAAGACAATAACTGCATAAAAGACAAAACAAAACACATTCTCAAGATCAAATATTTCCAATTTAAAAACTGTAATAGATTTAATTGACAAATGAACTTTCATAGTAGGAAATAAGTCAGAAAAACAGAAGTAAAAGGAGAAACTAAAACTACCTTATCAAAATATTCTGGAGTTTGTGTAGGTTTTAGTGAAACTGCTGCTGAGCCATACACTGCACTAAACAAGGCAATCTTCCTGTAAAATATATAAAACAATATGCATTCCCTCATACAACAGTACCACACACAGCAGACATCAGAGAAAGAACACAGAGTATCCTTAAAAATATGAAACTGATAATTAAATAAAAATCAAGTTCATTTATACTACATGAAAATGTATAAGATGAAAGTAGCAGTGGCTTAAACAAAACAAATTATGGTAGACTTAAAAAATGTAGGCCTAGTTCAGATCCATCAGCTCCCTCAACAAAGGGCATCAAACTCAAATTCATTGTAGGAGAATGATTGATGATACATACTGGGCAGGAAAAATCTGGCAGAAAGAATGGTTTCATCCACAGCCTCAAAAAGACAAATTGTGGGGCTGGCCCCGTGGCGCACTCAGGAGAGTGTGGCGCTGGGAGTGCAGCGACGCTCCCGCCACGGGTTCGGATCCTATATAGGGCTGGCCGGTGCGTTCACTGGCTGAGCGCCGGTCACGAAAAAGACAAAAAAAAAAAAAAGACAAATTGTGTACTTGAACAATGTCTTCCCTAGGAGAAATTTCTATACCATTTATTGCTGCTCAAAAAGGAAGATCAACATTGTCACAGTCCCTTGAGAGATTCTTTTGTGACACTTCTTAAAAACCAAAAAGTCAACTAGAAACTCTCTACTCATCAGTCAGCTTTGTGTGATACTTTCTATCTGAATGTCATGGGACATGGAAACCACTCAGTGGCTTCAAAGACCATCTCTTTATGTAGCAGGATGAAATTAAAACACATCTGTCAAAGTGTTCTCCTTCAAGAATTTTCTGTTACCCAGTAAAACTGCCCCATGAGAAAGTCCACAGGAAGTTGTACTCATCCAGTGGGTTATTAGAGTGGGAAAAAAAAGAATGACATGTTAGAACCTAGGAATGTGTTTATCAAAACCAGATTTCAAAAGCAAAGTTAGACAAAACTAAGAATACAAAATCAGGAAAAGCCAAGGTTTTTCCTGTATTCCCATACTAGGTAGAACACTGAAAGAAAAACAGAAAAATATAACCTAGGAGGGTCAGATTTTGTGGGATCTTGAGATAGGACTCTGTGCTCTGCTCACAGACTCCACACTAAGGGCCTGAAAGCCTGAGATATGCTCCTCTTGTAGCTCTGTGAATCAGAGAGGACCTCTGTGTCGACTGTCTTTACAATTCTGCTAACAATCTCAGAAAATCCAACCCACTTCCTTGTTATACACAGCTGAGAAGACTGGCAAGAGCTGAACGGAAGAAATGGCTAAGGGACCTCAACAGGCAGAGAGCTTGAGACAGCTCTGCGCAGTTTCTGGGGCCCCAGATGCAAAGGAGGAACAGCCAATGTTTCCCATCTCCTGCACAGGTCTTCCAAACACATGAAATAGGGATAGAATCAGGATAGGTCCAGATGTCAGGACTACAGATGCCTCAGCTCTGTCTACATAAACTAAGAATCAAACATCAGACGGAATAAAGTACAGAAGAAGAGACCAAGGTGGAAAGAGACCCCTTTGAAATGGCCCTTCCCCTGCTGGCCAGAGTGAAGGGATCAAAGAGTTCACAGAAGCCAGATGACAAAGTGTTGTCCACTGTGATAACGACCTTTGCCTTTGTCTCTTTTTGAGCTGCAGCATCACTGGAGGATGAAAGGATAAACAGGTGCACCCCTAAAGAATAGTGATAAGTGAGGAAAAAGAAAAATTTCCATTGAGAGCTTATAGGAAATGAACTTTTGTTTTCCCACAGGACTCTCCCACTTGTGGACAGTTTCCCAAACACTATTTAATGGTGTGTTTTCCACTGTGCCCATCCCAGCTCTTACCTGTGTTCACACCTTTGATACATTCCCACCCATTTGGGTTTCTTGCTAATTTCACTTGGCTGTCCATACACCAGGGCTCTTTCCCTTGTTCCAACACGGAGATAACACTGAGGTCAAAAGGAGAGATTCCTGCTTATAAAAAGAAACATGATGTGCTGTGACTTTTCCAGAATCTCAACCCTTTGTTCAGCTGAATAGAGAATATATTACAGATGTATTTAGGAAAATATTTTACTTATTTATCTACTGATTACCTCCTTCTGAATGCTTAGGGAACACTATAATATGCAGACATCTAGTTAACTTCTAAGAACTACTGAATCACAAGCAGAGAAGTTGAAAACAGCGAATTGGATATTTTAAACTCTGCCATAAGGTTTCATGCACATGCAAACTCTGAAACCACCACTGCTGTATAATGAAGGTGGCAGAACATCTGAAGAAAACAGACAGTTAAAATCCAGATGCCACGTTATGGAGTTATTCAGTTCTGAGTCAATACAGCTTCAACCTTAGTCATGCCATGCAGGAGTTCTTAAAAGGCACACAAGGGAAAATGCAAAGATACAGAAGGGCAGATTCCAGACACTTGGAGGGAAGTTATCCTCACCCAGGGAGACTAGGTTCCTGTAGTTCTCCAACATCACATCCCTGTATAAACTCCTCTGAGCAGAGTCCAGGTATTTCCACTCTTTCTGAGAGAATTCTATGGCCACATCTCTGAATGTCAAAGAACTCTGAAATAAAAAACACATTTCACCAAGGGGCCATGGGGAGAGTTCTTATGTTCACGCAAATTGAGAATAGAGTTGTAGGAACTGATTCAAAATGTGTGTTTTCACATAATTTGTGTAAATTGTTTACGAGAAAGTTATGTGTCCCTTATTTTGGAATGTTATAAATTATATGGGAGGTTATGATATCCTATAAATAAGTTTGGATTTCTCCTTATTGTAAATAATGCAAGAAATAGAAAAATGAACACAGGATTAACTCTACAGAAGTGTAAGATATTATGTTCGACACACCAAGTGATATTCAGTATCTACATGAGGTACAGCAAGAGTGGTATCTTCAGGATGACAAAGTCCACAGTGGCTTTAAATAAAGGTCAGAGTCTAAAACCTGACAAGCATCATCACAATAGCAATGACTGAAGTGTTTGAACACTTCCCATGTGCAAGGCATCACTCCAAATGCTTTACATGTACTAATTTGATATAACAACACAATAGCCCATCAGAGAAAGACCTGTTCCCACATTATTCAAGAGTCAACTGTGTCACAGACACTCTAAGAAACTTGCCTCAGGTCAAACACCTAAAAATGGCAGAGCAAGCACCTGAACCCAGGGGTTTGGGCTTTAACACTAAACCTAAGGAAATAAACAGTTAAATAATGGATACAGTACGTCTTATTCTGTTTGTGCTGCTATAACAAAATACCACAGACTAGATAATTTTTGAACAAAAGATGTTTATTTCTCCTGGTTTTGATGTCTGGGAAGTCCAAGAAAGATCAAGGTGTGAGCAGGATTGGTGCCTAGTGAAGACTGCTCTCTGCTTCCAAGATGACACCTTGTTGCTGCATCCTCTAGAGGGAACACCACCTCCTCGCTTGGAAGAAGGGGCAAAAAGGGGTGAATTCCCTCTGTCAAGACTTTTATAAGGGCATCTAATCAAGTCCTCATGATACAGTGAGCTCCTAAAGGCCACACCTCCTAATACTGTTGTACTGGGGATTAAATATCAACAAGAATTTTACAGGAAACAATAACATTCAAATCATAGCATTCCACCTCTGTCCCTGAAACTCTCCCAGTCTGGGATTATATGCCAATGGCTGTACAACTGTAGGGTCTTATTGGTGGCCCTGCTCTCAAGAATCCACTAGACATTGCCCTACTGGGAACTCTCTGTGGCGGCTTAATCTCCACAGCTCCACTAAATGTTGCCCTAATAAGTAGTCTCTGTGGTGGCCCCAACCCCATGGCTCTGCTGGGCAATGCCTTAGTATGGATTATCTGCAGCAACCCCACCAGTGTGGCATTTCTCTGCCTGGATCCCGAGGCTCTCTGAGGTATCCTTTGACATCTAGGTGGAGATAGCCATGCCCCCACCACGTGTGTACACTGTGTGCCTGCAGAGTTAACACCTTGTGAATGCCGCCAATGTTTATGGCTTGTGTCCTCTGGAGCAGCAGCAAGACCCACATCTGAGCCCAGTTAAGCTTCAGCTGGGTTGGTGGATGAGTACTGCTCTGGAATATGGGGGGCAGACTTGAAGAGGCCACAGGCAGTGAGTCTTGAGGTCCAAAAGGTGCCCCAGCCCCTCCCTTGAAACCATTCTGTCTTCAACCCCCTGGCACTCTGGGCCTGTGATAGACATAGCAGCCTCAAAGACCTCCAAAATGCCTTTAGTGTCATTCTATTGTTTTGATTTATGGCATGTGGCTTCCATTTATACATACTCATCAAAGGGTTGCTTGGCTACAACCTTGTTTTTCTCTCCTAAACATGTTTTTATTTTTTTATTTTTATTTTTTAATTTTTTTACAGTAAGGGGATCTCAACCCTTGGCTTGGTGTTGTCAGCACCATGCTCAGCCAGTGAGTGAACCAGCCATCCCTACATAGGATCCAAACCCATGGCCTTGGTGTTATCAGCACCACACTCTCCCAAGTGAGCCACGGGCTGGCCCCTCATTTTTTACTTTTTAATGAAACAATTGATTATACATATTTGTGGGATACAAAGCTGAATATCAATAACTATGAACAATATGTGATGATCAAATCAGGATAATTACATTCACCATTACAAAATGTAATCATTCTTGTGACCCTGTACCAATTTCTCGCTAACCCCTCTCCCTATTCCCTTTCCCACCTTTTTTTTTTTTTTTTTTATAATTTTTTTTTTCCTTTTTGTCTTTTTTCGTGACCGGCAACGGATCACAACCCTCAGTGTTGCGCCCATACTGGACCAGGACCGGCAACGGGATCGCAACCCTCGGTGTTGCGCCCGCACCTGGCTCAGCCAGTGAGCGGCCGGTCTGTATGTGGGATCCGAACCCTCAGCGGGAGCGCCACCGCGCTCCCAAGCGGCGCACTGTAGCAGTGCGCCACCGGGCCGGCCCTCCCTTTCCCACCTGTAACCACAGTTCTGTTCTCTCCTTTTGAAAGTTCAACATATTACTGTGATTGTAGCATCTTTTCTTTCTTTTTTATTTGTTTATTTTTTAACTCCAACTTATGACTGAGGATATGCATGCCTGGCTTATTTCACTTAAAGTGATTTTCTACAAGCTCATTCACATTGTTTCAAATGACAGAATTTGATTCATCTTAATGACTGATGAGTATTCCATTGTGTACATATTCTACTATTTCCTTATCCAGTTGTCCATTGATGGACATTTAGGTTGGTTCCATCTCTTAGCCATTGTAAATAGAGCTGCGATAAACATCGGAGTGTAGGTATCCCATTGACACGAAGATTTCCATTCCTTTCAGTATATACTCAGCAGTGAAACTGATCAAATGGCAGTTCCATCTGTAGTTGTTTGAGGAACCTCTATACCGTTTTCCATAATGGTAACAATAATTTACAGTCCCACCAACAGTGTAGTAGGGTTCCCCTTTCCCCACATACTTGCCAGCATTTGTTATTCTCTTTTTCATGTAGTCAGCCTAACTGGGGTGAGATGATATCCCATTTTGGATTTAATTTGCATTTGTCTGATTCTTTGTGATATTGAGCAGTTTTTCATGTTTCTGTTGACCATTCGTACATTTTCCTTTGAGAAATGTCCATTCAGTTCTTTTGCCCATTTTTTAACTGGATTACTTGTTTTCTCACTGTTGAGTTCCTTGTATATTCCGGATATTAATCCCCTATCAGATGTGTACTTTGCAAATATTTTCTCTCATTCTGTAGGGTTTTTTTTGCTTTTGATTGTTTCCTTTGTTGTGCAAAAGATTTCAAGTTTGATAAAAATCCCATTTTTTATTTTTTCTTTTGTTGCCTATGCTTTTGGGGTCTTATTCATAATGCCTTTGCCCAGTCCTGCCTCCTGAAGTGTTTCCCGTTTTATCTTAGTATTTTTATAGCTTCAGGTCTTAAATTTAAGTCTTTAATCCATTTTGACTTGACTTTGGTATATGGTGAGGAGTACAGATCTAGTTTCATTCCTCTACATGTGGATGTCCAGTTTTCCCAGCACCATTTATTAAAGAGGCTGTCGTTTTCCCAATGTATGTTCTTGGTGCCTTTGTCAAAGATCAGTTGGCCGTAAGTATGTGGGTCAATTTCTGGGTTCTCTATTCTGTTCCATTGCTCTGTGTGCCTGTTTTTATGCCAGTACCATGCTGTTTTGGTTACTATAGCTTTGTAGTATGATTTGAAGTCAGGTAGTGTAATGCCTCCAGCTTTGTTTTTTTGGTCAGGATTGCTTTGGCTACTTGGGGTCTTTTGTTGCTCCATGTGAATGAATGTTAGGATTTTAAAAAAATATTTCTGTGAAGAATGTCATTGGTATTTTGATGGGAATTGCAATTGAATCTGTAGATTGTTTTGGGTAGTATGGACATTTTCAAATGTTAGTTTTTTTCACCTTAGAGAGCTATTTCAAATAATTGTAGAGATTATAAAATGAAATATGTAAACTTTAACATTTTACTTCTCTAGTTTTTGTGAAAATTTGAAGCCCTACTTTCTACAGAGTATTTTGTCATTCATCTGTTATTCAGTTTATGTATTTGTTATTTGAACAAATTAATGTGCATATTCTTGTAAATAAGTAAATAAATAAATAGTTAATTCTTCAAATCCATGAGCCTGGAATGTCTTTCTACCTTTTTGTGTCCTCTTTAATTTCTTTCAGCAGTGATTTGTAGTTTTCATTGTAGAGATCTTTCACCTCCTTGGTTAACTTATTCCTAGGTATTTTCTTTGATTGCTCTTGTAAATGGGCTTGCTTTCTTGATTTCTTTTTCTGGATACACCAACAACAAACTAGCAGAAAAAGAAATCAAGAAGCCTGTTTACAAGACCCATCAAAAAATAAATAAATAGAATACAAAAATGCTACTGATTATTCCATCTCTAAGGGTTTTTTGATAGATTCTTTAGGTTTTTCTATGTATAGGATCATGTCGTGTGGACAGTTTGTCTTCCTGGCTCAGTCTTGGTAGTTGGTATGTGTCCAGAAATTTATCCATTCCCTCTAGGTTTTCAAATTTGTTGGTACTTAGTTGTTTATAATAGTCTCTAATGATTCTTTGTATTTCTGTGGTATTGGTGGTTATGGCTCCCCTTTCATTACTGATTTTTGTCATTTGGGTCTTCTCTTCTTTTTTTGGATAGCCTAGCTAATGGTTTATCTCCTCAATAACCAACTTGTTGCCTCATTGACCATTCATATCATTTTTTGCACCTCTATTTCATTTAGTTCTGCTCTGGTCTTTATTGTTAGTATTGGATCATTCTTGATTTTTTTCTAGTTCTTTGAGGTGTAATGTTAGGTTGTTTATTTGAAGTCTTTCTATTCTTTTGATGTAAGCTTTAGTTACAGTGAACTTCTCTGTTAGTACTGCTTTTGCAGCATACCAAAAGTTTTGGTATGATGTATCTTTATTTTGATTAGTTTCAAGACATTTTTTGATTTTCTGCTTAATTTCTTCTGAGACTCTGTATTAGTCCATTTCTGTCGCTTATAACAAAATACGTGAAACTAGG